TCCCTGCCCGGGGCAGGGGTTGGGGCTGGAGGAGCTTTAAGGTCCCTTCCAACCCAAACCAGGCTGGGATTCTATAGAAGGGGACAGAGCTTCACTACGTAAAGACACTATCAATAATCACAACATAAATCCCCAGCCCAAGTTGAGTGTAATCCACAAAACCTCTCCTTCCTCTCAGTTTCGCTGACAGTCGGAGTGTTACAACTTAAAATCCCATTTCAGGAGAAGCAATATGGTGAGATGGGTGCATTTGCATCCCCAGCCACCATGAGCCCTGTCCCTCACTGTCCATGCAAAGGCACAGGCCTGCCTTCAATACCTGATATAGCTGAAGAAACACTAAACCAACCTTCAGCCTAAATACATACCCCCCCAGTTCACCAGACTACAAGGGCAGTCTGCTCTCTGATGGCTGTCAAACAACGGGTTTGCATTTAACTTTCCACTTTATCCTCAGGTGCACATCACTGAATTGAAGAGGAATTTCAATGGATTCTGTCTGAATGGTAATACCAATCCACTGACTTTCAAGTACACTATTTTTAATCAAGTATTATTGACAGGAGAGGTCAAAAACATCTGGAAACCCCTCTGAGCACCGTGCAAGCTCTGCTCACCCTTTGTCAAAGGGATGGACATAGTGACTCCATTTGTTATTAACACATTAAGCAAGACTTTGAAAGAGCAAATATATAAGAAAGAGATTGGCTGTCACATAAACCCAATTTAAACTTGTGTGAAGAAGACACTTCTCATTCCTCCATGTCTTGGTTTTCCCTTCCTCCACCCCAAAAGACACATGTTGTGTTGCTATGCTATAAAAAAATGAGTATTTCACATTGATGGGTGTACAACTGTTTGCAAATCTGCCTGGCAGATGGATGCCTGGGACATAAAACTGTGGCAATCCATCACCCGAGGAATCAACACCTCCAATGAAATTCAGCTCAATGGAAGCACCATAAAATACCAGCAAAGTTTCATGGATGCTCAGGTTCCTATTTCCAGGCTGCAGCTCCTACTTGATGTTCCCTGTTCCCAAACTTTACCCCTATTTATTTAATAGTACTTTCCAGTGAGGCCAGTTGTGATAGACATTGGGGGTGGTGGTAGGATTCACTATAATACTAAAAGGAAGTAACTGCCAACAGAAAAGGAAAACCAAAGATACCCCAAATTAAAAGATCATTGATAGAAAACTATGTGGCTTTTAAAAAGACATATTAATGATCTTAAGGTGCTTTCCAACCCTAACTATTCTTTGATTCTATGATTCTATAATGATGCTTTTCAAAGCAGCCAGACTGGTTCGGGTTGGAAGGGGACTTAAAGCTCATCTAGTTCCAACCCCTCTGCCATGGGCAAGGAGACCACTAATACCTGAGAAGTGCTGATGACAGGCAAGTCTCCTAAAACCTATTATTGACTGCAGAAAGCATGGTAGACATAGCTGATGTAACAGTGAGTTTTGGAAAGTATCTATCAACTGGACAAATTTAGTGTTCTTTCTCATTTAGGTGGTTTCAGTATCTTGCATCATTTGGATCACTTCTCTTTATCACAGCAAAAAGCACCTCACTTATAGCTTTCATTTCTACAAATAATTCTACACTCTGCTATTGTTGTTGCATGAAAAAGAAACCTTGATTGAAAAGTGCAGAGGAATCATAGAATCACAAATGGTTTGGGGTGAAGGGACCTTAAAGCTCCTCCAGTCCCAGCCCCTGCCCCGGGCAGGGACACCTTCCACTAGAGCAGGTTGCTCCAAGCCCCTGTGTCCAACCTGGCCTTGAACACTGCCAGGGATGGGGCAGCCACAGCTTCTCTGGGCACCCTGTGCCAGTGCCTCAGCACCCTCACAGGGAAGAGCTTCTGCCTCAGAGCTCATCTCAGTCTCCCCTCTGGCAGGTTCAAGCCATTCCCCTTGGCCTGTCCCTCCATCCCTTGTCCAAAGCCCCTCTCCAGGTTTCCTGGAGCCCCTTTAGGCCCTGGAGCTGCTCTAAGGTGTCCCCTTCAGGAGCCTTCTATCTGTAACATACTTCCTGTAAGATAACGGTTTTAACTCCTAACTTGAAGTTAACAAATGAACAAAACCCATTTAGGAGCAGAGATTTGACATATCCTTTGCTAAAACTGATTGCAAAAATGTCGTAGGTGATATTTAACTCTGTAAATTACTTTTTCAGCTTTTCCCTTTGTTTTCCTTTGCCATCTTTTCATGCTTCATATATATAAAATGAGAAATGAAGCAGCTTGGTAAGAAATGAGAGAATGTAACAGTGTTTCCTAGAACTGGAATCATCTGATGGAAGAGAGAAACAGCCATTCTGCAGGAAGAACAAACACGATTAGAGATGCAGCTTTACATTAGAGGTGCCATCCCTGGCAGTGTTCAAGGCCAGGTTGGACACAGGGGCTTGGAGCAACCTGCTCTAGTGGAAGGGGTCTCTGCCTGGGGCAGGGGGTTGGAGCTGGAGGAGCTTTAAGGTCCTTTCCAACCCAAATCAGTCTGTGATAACCAGCCTTTCAGCATGTTTTTGGGGAATACTACAGTTGATGCTGCAGGCAGATGAAACCCCCTTTCATCCCTGGTTTAACCGTATTAGAGGCAACGCAGATAAACAGCCCCAGCATCGTTTTGATCTGCACCTTTTAGAACGTGTCAGGCTGAGCTGTAGAAGCCCATGTGCTGCCTGTTATGTGGTTTGTTTTCAGTTGTATTTGTGCTGCAGCAGCTCTTTAGTCCTCCTCTCATTGCCTAAGGCCCTGTGTAAGCTCTGAGCAAAATAATTGTGTCTGACAGTGGTTTTGTCATCAGCTTCTAATGTAAATTGGAGCAAGTCACATCCTGCACGGAACCCCTGCGCTGGGCCAGTGCTGAACAGGCTTCATTCACATTAAACCATTAAAGGGTTTATTGAATGTAGCTCTAGTAAATAAAATACCACTTTAAATAATCCCTGTGAACACTTGATAACTATCTTGGAATTTAATATTGAGCCTAAATGGTTCTGCTGCATTCAGCAGCTGGAGCCCTCCCCACGCAGCCCTGCACCGCGTCCCCGCTCCCACACGTTCCCTGCTCCCTGTCCAAACATTTGGGAGAGATTGGCAAGAGAGTGAAATATGATGTTCCACGTTCCTCTCCAGGCTTGCGAAGTAAAACAGCTGTATGATTGATAAAACTGACTGCTAAAGGTTTGGCGCTGAGTATGTTGCTGTTGCAGTGAGTCAGGTTCATTGAGGCAGCTGAAGTCATGTAAAATCTCAGTGATTTCAGAGCATCGGGGAAGCACGAGCATCCAAATAACTTGTTTGGATCCATCTCACTTATTTCTTCATTTTTGCAGTAGAATCATTCTGCAAAATGTGGAAATATCACATAATTCAGTTGTTTG